TGCAGGTTAAAGTCTGAATTATTCACAGCACTGTTTTCTGTTCACTCAGGGACGTAGGAACGTTTTCAGTTTTGGATAGAAGAGGAAAAGTCATATAACAATTTTGAACAACTAGAACCTCTAGAAAGCTTCAAACGGTATTTTGCAATAAATTGTATCCTGAACTTTTTAACAGCTTTTTCTTCTATATCGTCATTGTGAGGGAGGCACAGACACTCACTCCCCGCAGAATTTCAATTTTAACAGCCCAGTGCGTTCACGATATTTATGGTGACTGCTGATATTTCTCATAGTCCTCTAGAGTGATGGACAAATGCAAAAAGAGTTTAACATTTCTTGGATTTTTCAAATGAATATTCAGCATCCTAGCACATTTTAAAAGCACGAATATGTTTAATATAAAATACATCCCGTGCATTTATCATATTATTTTAAGTAAAATTCTACTTCACTTTGAGGCAACATAAATGAAAGGCCACTCATGTGTACATAATGCGTACCAGCTTGTAATTCTTCTGCAACATATGTGACGCTGAAGTGGTCAACAGAACAAAATGCTTTCTTTTCAAAAGCAAAAATGTAGCAGGACATTTCATGCAGTCGTCCCTACAATTTCATTTACCAAGGAGAAAGATGTGAAATGAGCTGTGTATTGAAATTGTTGATACCTTAGGTACTTTACTTAACTTTATTACAATGTTGTACACTAAAAGCGTAATCCAAAATAAATACATATAAAATTTTAGAGAGTCTAGTTTTGAAATATTTCTTCTCTCTGGCCAGAAAAATTTGAATTAAATGTCAAATTATTCAGACAACGAATGAAGATATAAACTACTGAAAACCAAACAGCATTTTGATATGGCTAAAATATAGAGTATAGAATCGATAAAATCGTTCTTTGCATTGCCTTTCCTTTGCTTGGGAATTTTGGTTGTTTTGCTTCCCATTATACTCAGTTTGATTTGCGCTCAAATTTCGCCTGGTACCCATGCTTTTTTGTGTGTATTGACGTATGTGTGATGATCATATGAAAGTTATGGGTATTTCAGAATTGATCGACGGCTTATTAATTAGGCATTGTCAGAAAATTTCGTTCCCCATGTTAGACGATTTGACGTTAAATGGAAGCCATAATTAACCGACTATAAGTGAAAGTCTGCATAGAGGGCTTCTTAATAATGCAATTAATAGCGATAAACTCTTAAAATTTGTCAAAGTTGAGAGTGTCCATTTCAAGTAGCAAGCCCTATGAAAATAAAAAGTCATTTTGTGTTCTGAAACGTATTTTACCATTTTTGTGCACGTATTTTCCAATATATGCAACGCCAATATTGATTTAATCAATTTTTCTATAATTTTGAAAAATAATGTTTGTACAATGGAAGAACTACAATATTGGACTAATCAATAAAAACGCTCTAAAATAATGTCTAATTTTGCAAAGAAAAAACCCACCATTTTAAATTAGATTTTGTACAACTTTTCCGCTCTGTTCTGTGTCTTCCATTAAAAAAATTACTTCCTAACGAATGAAATAAACTCTTCAGTTATATGATTTTTTGCTTTGTGGAATGACATGATGATATAATGAATTTTTTTTACTAGTGTTCGTTTGCTAAGGTTATGAAACTATTAACCATTAATGATTTCTATTTTAACTAAAATTTTATCAACAAAACTCAATCTATTTTTTAATAAAAATCTCGTCGAGCTTTTGTTGCCAAATGTTATAAAAAATTAACTTTTGCAACCTCTTTTTTAGTTGGTCGAGAAAAACAGAGAATGCCAAAATCCAAAATTATTAGTTTAGTTACTTCGATTCTTGGAATTATCGATAGAATTATTATTGCAATTTTGGTCTACTGTTTATTCATACAATATGGTCAACGTTGGTTTAGTAAGAAACTTTGGCAATTTCGACGTCTTTCTGAAGACGGGGATGAATTTATACGATAAGACTTATCAAGAAAATAAAGCAAAGAAAATTTTCCACGAGAACTGTATTTAGTGGTCAAAGCATGACATAATTTTTTGATTAATGCATGTTTTCATTGACATTTTCTGTAATATTCTGTGAAGAGTGAATGACACTCTTTAATAAAACTTGTTATGACTAATGAAAGAATTAGTCAGTCAATCATCTTTTTATATTTTTGTTTATATATTCGATCATTTTAGTTTGCGTATGTTTTTTGTATATCTTGGTTGATTTTTGCAATTTATTTGCACATTGTACAAAGTTTATATAAATGTTGGAGATTCTTTACAGTTTGATGCAACAAAGACCATGGATCAATGTGCTCAAAAATACAACTTTTGCTGCACACCTGTCATAACAAATAATTTCTTTCATATTGTTATAGAGGATAATAACAAAGCTACTAATCAATATGGCTGCAAGCGATGATTGCGCACAATCAGCAAAAATTTACGTTTTATCGATGACGCCATCCACAGTTATCAAGTCCAAAAATTTTGCAAATTTAAAAAATTCTTGGTAGCATTAGATAGACTATTATGAGATAATTGAAAAAATATATTACTGCATCAAAATTTAATTTCAGTCACTCCTTTCAAAGGCATCAACGACTGTTTTTAAAATTGATGCCGACTCGACAATATCTGGTCTTATCTTATTTGACAGGCAGACCTGTCAACTTGTCCTGTTTTATCGGCTGTCACCTAAATCTTTCGTAATATTTTTACTATTACGGTTATTTATAGGAAAAATTTTCATTTTGCAGCTTCTTTGATAGGACAAATTTTTATATCACAATTATAGAAATTTGTGGAGAGTAATTTATACAAAACGTTTTGGTCATTTCGACTTTGCAAGGCTATTACAAGTAAAACTTCATTGGAAGAACAACTTCAATATTCACAACCTTATTCTAAATGAGCTAAAAGATTCTTTACTGAATATTAATTCAAAATAAAGAATTAATGATCCTGGATGACAGTGCTATGGTTGTCAAATTATTGCATATGGTTGTCAAAGAATATTTTTCATACACAATATAACCCTTTAATTTCTTTTAGAATCACGATTAAACTTTAGTACTATTGTTACTAGTTAATGCCTATCATTTATACTAAAGATATATATTTTCCATGCATTAAAAGATAGTGAAGGACTCACCACGAGCTAAAATGTATTACTTGAAGATAGTGGGAGTTGGATGCTGGAATTGTATCAAATAACTAATAATTAGGGAATATACCTGACAAAAATGAGTAACCAATTTCATACCAGAAAATAAAGCACTGAGTATAAGCACATGTTTACAATTATAGTTCTTGAAAGCTTAGTAATTGTTCACAAAGCAGTATGTGATTGGTCTTAAAATAAATGGTTACAGAAATCTTGCTGTACCGATCATTTACCTAACACCGCTTTAATAAAAACAACATAAGCATTGATTTTATTAAATCTGGCTATCTCCACTCATAAAAAATTGCTTTTTCAACTATACTTCAGTTTGACTAATGTATTGAACCTTTGGCAGTTCTGGCAATTGCCAAGATAGCTATGGAGACTCGCAACGTGTACTCCATGTGTACCTATTTTATTGTTTTCTCGATGGATATTTTATTGTCAATGGACAGTAGGCTCAGTCTTCGATTGTGTAATTGTCAGTGATAATGCATAAAGAACTTGATATCTCTGTCTTTACTAGTTTGAGTGGCGCCCCCGAATAAGCACCTCACTCAAATGAGCGCCGCATTTCATGCCAATTTTTTTCAAGAACGCCTCACACAAATGAGCGCTGCACCAATTATTTTTAAAAGCATGATTAATCGACATAAGCTCAAAATTGTTAAAGACGCTATTACAAAAACAACACAAAATTTCAAATCGACCTCAGAAATTTACTTTCTTGTAAAAACATAGTAAAAATGTGTTTATTTGCTGTTGATTATTTTTGTTGCAACGTAAAAGTTATATTAAATGAAGATATGATTTTCGCACTTTGCTGGACAATTTAAGCAATTGTCTCATGAACCTGAAAAATTCAGGTGACTCAACGGGTAACTCAACCGATGACTCAACAATCTTTCGTAAAAGTTATAACCATTTAGGGGCTGTTCACATGAGCCCAGCTAACCGGGATTCAGCGAGGCGTGAAATGATTTTGAGATATTGAAAGGAGTAAAAACTTTAAACGCGAAACTTACAATCTTTCTTATAAGTCATGAGTCATTTTACTTGTAATTTTCAAATCTGGCCTAATTAATTGTTTTCATTTTAAAGGTTTCGTGAATTTGCAAATTCAAAACATAGGAAAATTGCTTAAATAACTTTTTGTTTGAAGGAATTAATCTTTTCCATTAGCTAAAATGAATAAACGCTTCGTTGAATCCCGGCTACCCGGGCTCATATGAACAGGCGCTTAGGAGGCGAATTTATTTAAATGTTATAGGGCATTTCGTGTGGTAATTGTTGCACATCTGTTACACTGCCACCAGCAACAGAAAGATCTTTTAAAGAGCGCTTCCCGAATGAACGACGCATGTAAAATTTCAATAATTTGAAGAGCACTCAAATGAGTAAATATGTATTGGCCTTTGTCAAGTAAGTCATCATCCAACGTAGCAGGCTGCCCTTCTTCCAAACGATTGTTCAAGTTCGTGCCTAAGGAGTTTAGCAAATTGAATACTATGTTTACTCCACAATTAGGCAGATTTCTAATGCGGGTACATATGTTTTCTTATAAAACTTTTCAAAACTTTTTGCCCGACAAGTTGATCTCAAACTATTAAAATTGCACCAAAAAGCTTCAGTTTCATAACACTTTGAGGTGTATTACAGCACCCTCCAGTAGCTTTAGCCCAAGACATTAAATACGCATCAATACCCCTCTTACAAGTCCCATGCAACTCTTGGCTTCGGTAAATCAAAACAGAAAGTATCGCTCCAGTTACATTCATACCAACGAGTTCAGCTCGTTGAACTTTCATGACGTTTGAATATTGGAATAATGTTGGAATATATTGTTGTTTACTTGTTAATATGCGCGGTTCTGAAAGTGTTAGTTTTTGAATTGTAGTTTGACTTATCTAAAACAATAAGATGCCTCGGTCCTTGATTCCAAACACTCCGATCGCTGTAGATTACTGGACTAAAAAAGATTCACATAAGAGGATATTATTTCTATCGCACATGCACGCAGACTATATACAAGGTTTGAATTCGTCTTGGTCGGATCAAGTTATTTACTGCTCGAACATTACACGTACTCTTCTCATCAGCCATCATAACATAAATCCATCGCTTGTGGTTGCATTGCCCGTCGGTGAGAGTGTGATTCTACCTCTAGATGCTCTAGGTATGTGTATTAAAATATGAGTACAAGCAATTTGACATAACGAAGGCAGTGTTTTTGTTTAAGTATCTTATATTTTGGCGGTTTAATTTTACAGTACCTAAAATACGCACGTTCGTACACACATATCATAAATTGACTGCTGGAAAAGGATTTGAATCGCGAGCGAAAAGATCGATTTTACTTTGTTATGATGTGTTGTGGAAAAACTAATTGAGAACTAAGGGATGAATGTTTATGTTCGTGTTCAGCCATATTTCTTTTGTAATTAGAAATTTATTATTTTTACGGATTTATTGAAATAAGTTCTTTAACTGTAGGTGAACATGTGAGTAATCATTGACATTTCATTAATAAAAAGAATATGCTCAATTTTTATTGAACGATGATATTCAGATTAATTCAATTGCCATACATTATACATCTTTCTCTCAGTTTGTATTCTAGTTTATATTTGAAATTTATCAAACATTAAACATCACCCTTTCTGTACAAAAATATACAAGATCACTCCCCCCACACGTTCACACACTTGCATGCCTAAAGGCATGTACAACAGCATGAGAAGTGTGAACATGTGCATATCTTGTACATAGTCTTTATACTTCAGTTGGCATTCCAGCTTTTATATTCACAATTAATGCCAAGTTCATTTATAGAGTTCTTTCTTATTAGAAGGTATAGGCAAATTGTTATTGACATGAATAATCATTTAACTATTGATGAAAAATTATTCCAGAATGTCATATATACAAAACAACGGCTTTGCACTATCCCTCTCCACTGTATGCAAAGGATACATTTTTATACATTTTCCTTTCCTTTCATTGTGTTCCAAATGTGTGTTTTTGAATACTGTCTAAATGGAACTGTTACAAAATAACGAGTCTGCTCAATCAATGTATTTGAAATAAACTGTAGTTGCTGCTCATGGCTTGCTAAATCAGGAACTTCTTAGTGTTGTATACTTTTTTGATATTTCTTATTATAACAATTTTAGATAATGCAAATATTTGTAAAAGGACTACTAAAGGCTATTACCATAGTTAAATAAGTTAATACTACCTGAGGGCTATTGCATATAATGTTTCGATCAGGGAAATAAGTAAGTTCATTGATGAAGGTGGTCAATATAGTGTCTGTATCCTAGCAATAACTGCTTAGCTTTAATTATGCTATTATAGCTAATATTTAAAATCCAATGAAGTTTTAAGATGGAAGATTTGTTGCTGACAAATCACTTGCATAAAAATATTAGTACTACTGCAAACTGTTGTGTTAATTCAAAATAACAATTTATTTCAATAACCAAAGATGTTTATGTGGAAGTAAGCAATACCTTGGTTCCCCCAAATATTGAGCGTTTTTGTCATTCAAATATTATAACTTGACATCATAATTGTTTTGTATAATCACGGGCACTCTTGCAGGTGGAACCAAGGGAGACATGACTCCCTCCAGCTTTCATTTTTTTGAGCGGGGCAGGTGCAGTATGGGTGCCAAATTTTGAAATTGGTTACGAAAAATTCAGTTATTGCTCCTAAGTTATAAATTAATATAACAAATTTCCGACTGTTTTGTCCAAACTCACGGCACTTGCTACCGCACACGATATTGTTTATTTAAAAATATGATTCACAATAGTATCTCTTTAAATTTGTATAATGATTAGGCTAGACTGCAGTTTAGCGGACACCCGATCAAAGCGCTCGTATTGGGAGCGCAGGCTCGTTTTTGTTTGGATCATAGGGTTAGTGTTTGGGTCAGCGTCGAAGGTGTCCGCTAAACTGCAGTAGTCCCAATGATTAAATCTCACCACAATTTTTATTGTTGCCGAACAAGGAGCAGATTATTACAACATTTGGAAGCCTCACATCAGAAGTCAACATGGCTGTTGCATGAAATGTTCGTCGTTATTGCAAAACGATTATATTAATTTCAACTTTCACGCAACATTAAAAACACGCTATAGAAGAACACCTTTGATTAACATGTGCACAACTCGTGATATTTGTTGTCAAATTATTGTACGCTCGGTTGGCAATTCAAAAGTTCATTGTGCGTGCATTTTAACCAAAAAATATTTTAAGGAGATTGGTTTTAAATATAAATATATTTTGTAAATATACTGCACGAATAATTCTATTCTTCTGCAAAATTATTATAAATTAAAGATTTTAGCTAGTAAAGCCAAATCCTACTGATTAATTCTACCAAAATCAAATTTTGGTATGTTACAATGCCATCTTTTCACCAATACATTAATGTCAATCTTACCACATAAAGTCCATGAAATGGCTTGTTAACACGTTTCTCACATAATTATGTTCACTCTGGTTTCAGATCAAGAGAAATTGACGGTGACTTTAATCGACGCCAATCACTGTCCAGGAGCTGTAATGTTTCTATTCCAGGGTACTTCGGGAACATCTTGTACACCGGGGATTTTCGTTATCACGAAAACATGTTGGACATGTACCCATTTACCAACAACTTCGTTATCAATAAATTATTTTTGGATAATACTTATTGCGATCCGAGATGCGAGTTTTTAAATAAATATGAGGCGAAAGACAAAATACTCAAAATCATCTATGAGCATTCGGATAGAGATGTTGTCATAGGTATGTTTTTGACGAATTACAGGTATCCTTGGCGCTATAAACTGGAGTGAAGTTTTTGATTTGATAACTTGTGCTCTTATATATGTAAACGGCATTTTCCCTGTGGACATTCAGAAGTTTGGTTATTGGTGGGGGGAGGTGGGAGTGCAAGCATAACGAGTCAAATTATTTCTAGTTAGTATACGTTTAGTGTCCACCAGAACATTGATCCAGATGAATGTTGAACTATCTGCTTCGTGCGCCTGCTTGGTAAAACGTTTTGCTCCTTCCACATGTTTCTTGACATTGATTGCAATCTACTTACAAAGCCACGCAAAGGCAAAGGTCTATCGCTATTGAAGAATCATTGTTAACCACAATGAAATGCGCATCTATTGTTTGTTTATATTTGTATTAAACATGATAATTTATTCCATCACACGATGATCTTTCTCTTAGACCCTTCGTACAACTTCGACAATAGTTAAAATGTCTGACTCCAAATACCGATCATTTATGTGAGTAACAAGTTTTGGTCTTCCTCCTTCAACCGTTATGCTTACCATAGTTTTGAATAATTATGAGCCCACCCAAACAGATACGTTTATAAAAATAATTACTAGCAAGCATCTGAAAATACTTTTTTGAGCCAAAATCGACACAAATTTTTATACATCCACAAAAGATGTATAAAGTATCTAAGGATTACAAACTGATACAACGCTTGTCTACTTATTCTACCAAGAAAATGGCCGCGAAATCATTCGAGCGCGTGTTGCATTCTGGTTGACAATGATTCTTTTAAAGAACATGTTATGTCTGTATTTCTTTTTTTTGATTGTTAGGTTTGGATTTTTTGGGTAAAGAAGACTTATTGTGCGAAATTGCGAGAGAACTAAACGTTCCTATACATGTCGACCATGCTCGTTATAAAACGAGTCAAATACTTGGATGCAGTGAATACTTTACCACGGAGAGAAAAGACACGTTTATTAGTGTGGAAAAGAAGAAAAAGGTTTCTCTTACAACGATAAAACACAAAAATAAATACTTTGTACCTACCATCGGTATCTTAATTACTGGTTTGTACGCCGGAATGAAGGAAGAGCTCTCCAAAAATGGTATGTTTTACGTCGTCCCGTATTCTGACCACAGTTCTTTCTCAGAGTTGAAGAAATTTGTTTCAAGAATTCGACCGCAGTGTATCGTTCCTTGTGTCAACCGAATTGGTGAGCAAAATTTGTTTGTTGACTTTGCTAATTTTAACATGTTTGGACAGTACTGCTCAGAACTAACTTAAGTCTGCGTTTGCGTCACATTTGCGTTTCGAACGCGGCCGGTACGCGTTCTGAACGCGTTCGAAGAAAATTTGGAGACACGTTCTGAACGCCCTCCCGATTGTTAAAAAAACTCGGTATAACATGGAAATTTCCGAATTTGAACACTTGTATATTGAGTACAAGTGATGATTACCGATCAATGATCGGATGTGGCCAAGAACGCGTTTCGCTATGCGTTCCACCTTTAGCCGAACGCAATTGGAACGCATTTTGGAACGGGTTCGGAACGCGTTCCGAGCGCGTTTTCTGTAAAACTTACTTCTGAGAAGTATTGTATCTGAAGCGTTTTTACTCGAAGATTTGACGATTTGGGTGAATTTCGACTACTTCCTGCTGATATTCATTAAGCCCAGTGTTCGTGCGAAACTTAAATGTCCTTGAATCTCTTTCAATTGAAATTGAAAATTTTGAGGCCTTAAAAATGCTTGAATTTTGTAACATATGTTCGAAAGTACTTGAATTGAAATTTGTTCATCGAATTTTGATAAACATTTTATCGCACTATTTTCTTTTCAAAGTCGATTTCAATTACATCTTACAACTTTATTGCAATAAGATAAATCGTCTTCTAACAGTTGATGTGAGAACTTTAAAGAAACCTATCAACATGGCAGCTTTTAGGTCATACGTCTAAAAACACATCATTTGCTCTAGACTAAATGATGGGAAAAGTTCTTTTGTTTTAATTTTAATAACGTTTTTAATTTTTCCCTCTTTAGTTGTGCTTTTTCGCCCCAAACGAATACAATTTGGATGTAACGCATCCAAAAAATGCAATTTCGTTGCCCATCTCATACGACTACATAATTTCTACACGAATAGTTAAATAATTACTCTTTCAGAATTCGTTGCCTCCCAAGCGAAACAAGGAGACATTGGAAAGAAATCTTTCTTTAAATTTTTCGATTTTTGCGCTTAGATGAACTCGAGTTGCAATTATTTTGTGTTATCTACACATACGCATACCTAAAAATCAGTAACACGCAGGTGCAACGATCAGTTAAATTTTAATGCAAAGTGAGGGGGCTCAACATAGCTCTTCTGCCCCCTATTTCCGACGCCCCTGTTGTTTTATATATGAGAAAAATGGTTCGCCACATTCATTGAGTGTTAATCGATGCACATGAAACGTCTTGTTCTTTACATTTTCAATTGCAGTGGAGAGCAAGAGCTACGAGGATCATGACCGAATGGACATGAGCGTTTTCGAGTCTTACATAGATAATGAGACAAAGAAGCATGTCTTCGACATCCCACCGACCGTCCAGGATTTCATGTTGAATGGTATAGACGTTCAGCAATTTAATATTAGAAAACGGAAGTCTACGACTAGTTTTTTCAACGGTGTGGTGAAAAAACCCTGTGGCATAAATTTTCCTCCGCTGCTTGAAAACGTGAACAACGGCGACGAACGGATATCTGGTAAAGAAAAAGATATAAGGATTGAATTACGTGAGGGTATGCAAAAGTTTTATCTATAATATCTATTCCCATTCTTTAACGCAAATTTCATGTTCATAACGCCTTGTTTTTACCTGACACTTAAGCGGCCAAGCAAATACTGATGTCCTTTTCCAGCCGACAATTTCAAAAAATAAAGGAAAAAACACTCCTAAAACATCATCTTGTAAAACTCAAGATTCGAGTTATAAAAGCAAGAGACAGGATTCAAAGCAATATTTCGACTTTATTTCAAAGTCATTATCAGGCTAAGTGATTATTTACAGGCATGCGTGATCTTATCACTTATTACTACATCATAACAATTATTATCATCATATCTAGACAGTAACACCTCCTTTCATCGCCTTTCTTTTTTTCATTGCTTACGTCTTTTCCTTGTAACAACTATTTTAAAACTATTTAAGATCACGCATGCTGTAAATAATCACTTAGCTTGATAATGACTTTGAAATAAAGTCGAACTATTGCTTTGAATCTTGTCTCTAGCTTTTATAACTCAAATCTTGGGTTTACAAGGTGATGTTTTTTGGAGTGTGTTTTGTCCTTTAAATGCTGATGTAGTTCATGGTTTGTTTCCATTAAATACACAGTTAGCCTGCTTGTTACGTCCATCCGTTTGAGCTTTGTCCAAACGCTCTCAAAATGTTCACGGAACATGCATTGTCTCCTGTTGTTTAGTGATGTTAAGAGATATGAGCAAACGTGCTCAACATGCTTTTAATTTATAACACGTGGTATCACGAGATAAAATATTCTATTACGCCTAGCAACCGCCTAAATACAGTTGCTACCATAAGGTTCAATGAGAATCAAAAAATTCAACTTCTATCTCTTCCGACGCCATTTCAACTACAACATATTCTGCCGAGTGCGTATGATTCAGCTTTACATTGTTGAGTGTGCTGTTCAAGTGCACTAAAACAATGTTGAGGTACGCTTTTCTTGTATGTTTGTAGATGTAGATCGTCCAGGTTAGAAAAGTTCGGAGAAGGACTGTTGATGTTGATGCGAGAAATAGCCAATGACTATCAATTTTTTACACTGCCGAGTCTTGTAGTTGTTCATACATGTAAGCTCTGAACTTGATCTAGGTTGCGAAGCTTAGAGTTTGCAATCCAATTGTATGGGTGCTAGTGATAATTTTACCTTGGTCATGATCTTTGTGTAATGAAAAGAAAACGAATTTCTTTAATATCGATAAAACTTTATTTTTAGCCTCCATTATTATTTTCTAATTACTCGATAGACTATTCACGTGATTGTACATTTGATAGATTTTACTTATTGTTCCTTAATGCCGTTGATTTGTTGTACGTTTGCAGATACTGATTCTGACAAAACCGCTCTCTTTGACAAATGTACGAGTTCGAAAAGAGATTTGAAACAACAGCATGAATCTGTTTGTTTGCCAAACCAATTAATATCAACCCCGTTGAAGTGTATTGAATCAGTTGAACGTGGCGATAATTTAGGTTCTGACGATGTTGATGTTTCTACTACGCTTCCGACACAGTCTAACGATAATAATGTCGCTACGACGCTTCCTGGAATGGCAAAACTGAACGAATTCACTCCATTTGTGAAGAAAGAGAAAGATTTAGACAAAAGCACAAGAAAAATTAGGTGTGGTGGTGGTAATTGTGGAACAAATCAGAGGTGCTTACCAGCTCTTAAAGCACTAAATATTGAATATTTCAGCGATGGTGAAGAATCGTCTAACGAAAATCTTCAGACATCTAGTTCAAACACGACTGCTAATCAACCCCTTGAGAAAAGCGAGAATGGTTTTCAAAAAACAGGCGATTCTATATTACTTCAATCTAATGAAACTGCACATGAAAAACTACGATCAACATTGTCTGACAATTGCCCAAATATAAATACAACTGATCGTTTATCGGATGTTGATTCGATAAAAATCTCTTGTAGTATAGAAATGAATAATTTTCAAAATGTGAACTCGTCTGTTAGCGATCATGCCGAGATATCATTTCTTTTTCACAATTCATTGGGTTCACCCGCTTTAGAAAATATCAGGGCTGCCAGCACGTCCGAAACATTATCGCATTACATAGAGCATTGTAACCAAATGGTTGATGGTAAGCCGCTGACAAAATTCTGTTTAGTACCGTTCAGGTTGAAAGTCGCAGCCAATTCAAAATGTTACGAAGAATGCAGAGAGCTTTTCCCTGTTCAACGTTTATTTTTAAGTAAAAGCACCCTCGATGCGCAAACCCAGACAGAGACTGGTGTAAGATCATCTGTTGCAATAGTAGCGGAAACCTGTTCTGACAAGAATTTAGGGCAGCAAGATAACAAAACAGAAGGCGTAATCAACACATGTTCACATGCCGAGAACTTGGATGCACTTTCTGAGGAGTTTCTTGGAGAAATGCATTTACGAAATTCTAAATATGCCAAAAGCTCTTTTCCTGTGAATAAAGCTACTTGTTCTAAAGAGTTAACTGGTGAATCCAGTGTGCCAGATGCCGAATGTACAATCGACAGAAGTGCGGAGGAATACTTATTAAACGAAGCCTTTAGTCAGGACCTTCGTGAATTAATAGAGCTTGCAGGACTTAGCAACAGGAAAATGTATTGCGGTTGCGAATCTGAGTCTGACCTTGTGCATTGCACAAAAGAAGAACGGAAAAATATTAGCATCGATTCATCTCTTTCGAAGAGTAATGTAAACCAACGTAATAAACCAAGTACCAGCGCGGAATCATCAAGTGTGATGCAAAATGAGTTACGCTTGGTGCAAACAGAACAAAACTCTTTAAAAACTGCGCATCGTGATCGGCTACAGACAAACAAAAGTGTTTCAATGAACAAACCTTTCCCAGAAGATCTAATTCAACGGTTGACCGAGCGTTTTAGGATGACTTTACGGAATGCGTCAAGGTCGTCAGCTCAAAAATCCCAAGTGACATATAAAGTGACTGGGAATTCTCAGTTTTCAGGCAAAGCCAGTATCTCCTCCGGGTCAAGTGATAAAATGCTTCCAGCTTTTTCCATAGAAAACGTTTTTACCAAGCAGAAGGAAGGAGAATTACGTGTTGTATATCATGGTGACGTATCACGTGCTAAATCAGCTCTTGCCAAGTGGCAAAGTCAACGATGAAACTTTCTTGCGTCTGAATTCTCTGAAGCTTTCAATTTATTTTTTTAGCAATTTCAGACAGTGTTATGACGACGGTATTGACATAGCAGTTCACAAGTCTTTAATTCAAAAAATTTTTCGTAATTGAAAAACAGCATTTTACGCTAAACAGAAGGTGACGTCATTTATTTCAATAACCCTTTTACAATAGGTAAAATCCTCTCAAATTTGTTTCGGGTACGTTTAAACGCCAACCTTGAGTTAGCAGAATTTTGTGTAAAGTTTCTTCGCGAAAACGAATTTGATGCAGTAATTTATAGAGTGAACCGTAATAAGATGGTTGCCATGGTATCTTTTGTCATAACAAGGATGTCGTCCTAACTATGGGGGCAAGGGATATTTTTTTGTAAACGCTCCGCCTTACAATGTCATCGATGGACGTTTGCTCGTTATATTCTTTATCAATATTTAAACTGGAACGCTTTGTTTCTACTTTTCGTTTTCGTCGTCTGTAGAAATTTCATCAGCTTTCTTGAATTGTCTACCGTTTTCTGAAAATTTCTCAACTCTACAGGGTTTATCGAAAAACCTCAACAGATAGGAAAACGACGCCTAAGACATTAGCGCCCATAATCTGCAAAAACCTTTGATGAAATAGGCATTTGGACTTTAAATGGATCATATGACGGTAAAATTTTGCAAGTTGTAACTAAGCATTTTTAGAATGAGATTTGTGTTGCCGAGAAGCATTTTCGAAATAGTATTGGCACGAAAAGGACAATGCTAAAAAGCAATTTGAACACATGCGGTTAAAATATGGCACATGCATTTCAAGCTAACAAACTTCCGGGAAATGGCCAAACTTTACACGATTTCTAGATATTCAAATTGCTGATTATTTTGTGTTTTTTCTTTTTTTAATGCCATTTCTTTAACACCTATTTATATTTGGATTAATGTTAGTTCAAGTTTACGCATAATTAATGAGGATTATAATATGGCATTTAATTGAACATGAAAATACAAAATAATTCGCAATTTGAAAGCTTAAGCGTTCGCGTACGCTTCGGCGAAGTTTCCCAAAACTTTTTTAGCTGGAACAACATGCGTCATATTTTAACCGTATGTGGTCCAATTGCTTTTTACCTATATCATTTTCGCGCGCATGATATTTCAAAAGTGCGCCTCGGTGATGCAATTCTCGTTTTTTAAAATTTTTATTGTTTGCGACAATTTTACCGTCACATAAACCATTGGAAGACTAAATCCTGTTTCTACCAAAGGTTTTTGCAAATCTTGCGATCTGATGAGTTTAGCGACGTTCTTCAAACTTTTCATTTTTTTGATACGCCCTGTAGAGAATGGAAAATTTAGTGGCTGGAATTTTTTCTTTAAAGTTGATTGAAACAACACTACTTTGAGTGCCATTTTACTAAGTCGGTATGTTTTGGGAGAGGGGACAAAATGGGTAAATTCAAGAGCATTTACTTTCACGGAAAATTGTTTTGCAGAAAATTCATATGACCTTTGGGTTCATTTTTGTTGATCAAACCTATAAGATCAGTAATGATTCAACTTAATAATTATGATAACTAAAGGTTATAACCTCCAAAATAGCTTTTTGTGCGAGGAGCGTTATCTGTTGGTTTAAAGACGAAAATTTGATGCTGGCAAACTTTTGCAATAGTCGTTGCTGTGAACCATTATATATGGTGTGTATATTGGGGATGATTTTATGATTGTTGTAAAAAAAGCTTTTTGAATGTAAGGATGTGCTGGAACAATATAACGGTATCCGTAATTCGACATTAAGCAAATTTTTCTGTTACATAACCGGACAGTCAGGTGTACTATAAATATTAACAAGACATAATAATAATACAAAATTATTTTTTGCCAGAACAGATATTTGTTCATTAGTGTTGCACATTATCAGTAGTTGTTAACAATGACGTAATATAGCTTTAATTCTTATGGGTGGAGAGTTTTTTGGAAGCTGCTTGTTATTTCGTATGGTGATTTGTTGCAAATCTGCTACACTGCCACAGAAAGGCTCAAATTAATATTTACTACTAAGACAAAACGTGTTTATATAGCTAGATGTATTTGTTCTCACGGTAAAACGTAATAGCGATACAAAAAATAACGTACATAAATGACAATATTAAGGTTCATTACGTACTTTGTGTACGAATTTTCGAGTTTAACAGCTAACAAGCCTAAGATCTTGTAACCGGTTAGTAATATTTTTAATCTATATATACGCTATAATATAACCCGGCTTCATCCATTATCCAGCAGAAAGTTTCCAGATGGTCACAATAATATCATCCATAATTTCTGCACGAAGCATTATGTGTGTCTCCATGAAAACATTTTATCTGTGCCATTTTAGTTTTATCTTTGTTGAATAAACATGTTTTTTAAAGTCGATGATTAAGTGGGACATCTTTATTAAAATCTTTAAAATCGCATCACATAAATGACTCATAAAGAAGCAGCAAATACATAAATTTAATGAAATATTTACGGCTTTGGCTGTTCTAACAATTGTCTTATACATGATTACATGCGCCAGAAGGATAAACGTAAAGAAAACACCATTTAGTACAAGGAAGATGAATACGGAGTACTCCCATCCTGGAAGGTGGTCTTGAAAGAGCTGTAAGGGAAGGCAGACCGCTGATCGTCCAAAGAAATGTGTGTTTTTCATAACTGTAAAAGTGGAACATCCTGGTTACTGAAATTATAGTGAAGGCAGCTGACCAGACTACAATCACTCGTACCCTTCACGCAACCACAACGCTCATATCAGCGTGACACAGTGTGACAAGGCTGCAACATTGCAGATACATTGCAGATAACTTAGTTTTAAATTGCATGAATGGAATAAAACAGAAAAATTTATCCTTCAAGATGGCAAATGTCAAAAGAGATTTCAAAAAGCAATCTTGTCGTCAAATCTAAAAGCATCCAAGAAAAGTATAAGAATAAATTACAACAAAAAACAACACCCTTAAAAAACAGATGCAATTTAAATATTTCGTTTCATTGTTTCTTCCCTTAGAATAACAGGGTATGTAGCTAACAACGGAAATAGTGAGTTAAGTTGAAAAATAAATACAAAAAAATACGTTTCATGAAAGTTTGTAATTTTGTACTCACACAAACTGAAGTGAGGAAGTGTACTTAAATAGGCCATCTGGAATGCTTTGAAGACGATTGTATGAGATATCTCTGAAAATACACAAAGTTTTTTAATTTTAATTTAAAAACATCTTATTATCCATGCAACACGTAATTTCAAACAAATAAAACATACTTATAACGTCCTCAATTCTCTTAAGTCACGAAAAGCACCAGGCTCTATTTCTTTTTACGTTATCAGCACAATTTCTAGAGTAGATGAAACAAGTTTATCAAATATCATATGACTCACAAAACATAACCTATATCTAAAACTTTTGCAAAACTACAATATAATGAGGAAAATTTGATCTTACAATTTTGAAGTTCAAACTTTTCATGAGCCAAGACGCCTTGATCTTGTTTAATTTGTTTCCTTTCTAGTTCCTGCCAAATTCAAAACACTTCATTCAACAAAGATTACGTTCATTTGTCAATTGTGAACGATAAACAAAGATTGTCGAAATTTACTTAGGTAAAAGTGTTAAATTATATTTATATTGAGGTATCAATTTGTACGTGTCTTAAAATTTTTATCTGGTCCATAACAATGTAAACTTCGTATATAACTTATACTTTATTCGAATGAATTTTTTTCAGAGTACATAGACAAATTATAGGAGTGTTCAACGTGTTTACACACAGAACAAATAGAAGCAAGGTTTGTCAATGGAAATGGCAAACTCACAGTGATTTAAGTTTTGATAAACCATGAAACATTCCATCACCAATTTCAGAAAGTAAGTTATACTCTAGAAATCTATAATAGAATAAAGAAAATTTTTAGAATAATCTAGAAATTTGTTTTTATCTGGAACCAGAATGACTCGTGGTTCTATATACTGTAAAGGAATTCTTTTTTAAAAACTTACAAGAATCTGAGCTTTTTCCTTTTGGAAAATACGTTGTTTTCTAGATTCTTTAGTGCATTTTGACGAAGACTTCTGAAAAAAATTCAAATAGACATAAAGTTACATGAAACATTTTGATGCAAAACCATTCCTATTACATTGGTTTAAGACTTACAACATTTTGAGATTTAGTAAAGACTTTAGCAGACTGGGATGAAAGTCATCTATCCAGTCATACTGAGATCTCTGCATTTGAACGAGAAAAAAACTATGTGTTTGCTAAGCAATACAAAATGTGATAAAGTTCAAACTCTTAAGATAAGTTAAAATTATATTTCTATCGTGCAGTTGTGCTCAATGTCGTTATAAAAGTAAGAAATGCCCTAATGAAAATCTTTCAGTGCATGCTTTGTCATTTAGAAATTGGTTAATTTTTCATAAAACCTAACGAAAGCAAATGTATCGTTACAGAATATACACTGTGCAGAAGGGCCACTCTTCAGTTAATTTGTCGTGATTCTTTATGTGTATGCTCCAGTTTATAGCCATCGTCCTGGACAGTCAATTGTTGTCAGTGGTATATAATATAATATTGGAGTTCGTGATGTAGGGACATAAAACATCTTTTTTATTCAATCTGTATTATCCGATACACATCTTATACATTATGAAATATCCAAAAGTGAAATATCCATCACTTTTAAAATTTGATTATCTTGTCAAGACAACAAGATAAATGTCAGAAAGATTCGTGTTTTTTTTATTTATTTCATTATCTAAAAACTACCTAATAATCTAACTCCTGTTCAGATTTTCTTTTATTCAGTTTTCATATTCTTAGTTTGCCTTCCCCATTATTAAAGTTGCGTAGGTTTTATTGTCTTCATGCAGTTAAACAGATCACCGATAATTGTTTGTAATCTAAAATAGCGAGAGTGAATTACTTCGTGTACTACTAATTATCGTTAACGTAGGTATTGAATATTGTTTTTTAAAAACCTTTTTTTCGTCGATTTCAAGGGTTACTTCAACTTCAACGGGTTGGGTAAACGTTGTTGTTTGTGGGGTCGTAGATGATCTAAATTTTAAAAATTTTCTCGCTCGGCGGCAACCATGGTGGCAAATCGTGAGGTTATAAGAGAGCATGACCAAAAACTTTTTGCTAGCTACGCCTCTGTTTACATAATCAGCAAGACTCGTGGACGATTGTTTTTAACAATACGTTATACAATACAAATTTATCGGCCCGTTATATGCAATGTGTTCATGTTCTTTTCTAACTTTATATGCTTTACACGGACAGCACAAGATAGAAATCTTCCGATTTCCCAGATGATAGGCGGTGTAGATCATTATTAGAGTTCTGGAGTGGATAGTCAGTAGTACCATTTCGTGGTCATAACCTTCTGGTCATTTTTCTTCCAGATGATGAGAAGCATTACCTGCCTACATCATCTTCTCGTACAGCAACACTGAGATTACCAAAAGTCTTCATGCTGACACCTATAATTTAAGATATTTTTTTCAAAGAAAAACCATAATTAAGGTACATTTTTAAAACCACTCTTGGTATATTAAAGTTCGGGCGACCAGGATAAGCTGCATTCGCAACAGAAGGTGTGGAGGATGGAATTACAAGTAAAGAGCTCACAGAATCTAGCATTTAAAAATAAGCGTAAGTTATTTTGTATGCATAATTATTTATTACATAAAGTTATGTTCATCAGATGTTGATTACTGACCTTTGGGGCGAACGTCGACGCGATGAAGTGAAATACAACTCGACGAACTGAAAACGACGCAACGAACTGAAATACAATCCAACGACATGATGTTGCATTGCAGTTTAAAACAGATGATTGCAACGCAAAGATACATGGTAACGCCATGACATATAAATTTGCCAAGTGAAGACATGAACTTGATTTTGTCCCCAACCTAACTCCATAATATAAGACAAGGACTTAGTCTATCTACACTTGATTTGAAGTCATGCGTGTCGATTATATTTCCTGTGAGAAACAAATTGCAAAATGCAAATAAGCTTCACAGTTCAACTGTATTTAGGAAAATAATTAACGGTATTGTGAATTATGTAATTGACAATGTATTCGTTAACAAGAAGTGGATACGCTTTATTTGTGTTTTTTTTTCATGTTTCGTGGAAGTAGTGAAACTGTGGAAGAATTCTCCTCACTCTATTTGAAACAGCTGGGCTACGATTCATTTTATATTGGTTTAATGCCTTTGTTTGGTCTAGTGACACAGTTGACTGGCGTTCCTGTTTGTACTTATTTGGCTGATAAATTTCGACTCCGTAAATTTACTTTGATTCTGGCGACACTAATTTCTATACCTGCAATCATGATGTATTTGATTCCTCAAGCGACGAGTTCACCATGTAAAAGAAAGATACGGAATTACGAAAGCATAAGTTTTCATAACAAAACCCAAACTAAATTCCTAAACAGTTCATTCACAAATCAAAGAACTCTACCACATGGTATCACTAACAATTTTAACGAGAGCACAAACCTTAATGAGTTTTCGTACTATCTGGGAAATTCGTCAGTATTCAAAAACAGCAGCCAACGAAATCATGGTAGAGATAAACTTTGGTATTTTTTGCTTTTGTGTATTCTAAATGGAATATTTGAGCTTTGCAGAAGGGTAACAATTGGAATAATGACTAGTATCGGAATAAATCATGAAAAAGATATGATATGTAAGTTTTCATACTACTTGGGATGCGGAGCTGCTGGGTCAGGAATTGCACTTTGCGCCGTGGCACTTGTTGCTGGACAATTTAAATATAGTAGATGTGGCATAGAAGTACCAAGTTATTTTGTTGCATTTCCAACTGCAGCAACTTTACAGTGTTTTATTTTACTAGGGGTAGCATTGTTGAAGTTTGATTACAAGGATAATGCAGAGAGCATCAACTATAAGAAAGCAGTATTAACATTGCTGAAATCACACAACATTTTCATTTTGTGTATAGCTTTACATGTGGGTGCATGTAATGGGTTTTACTCGTTGGCAGTTTTGGTACATGGAAAAACTTGGTGCAAGTACGACAGTCATGGGTGTTGAGGGATTGTTAAAGAGGTTGATTATCTCGAGCTTTTGGTTTCTGACCACTGGTTATGTCCTCAACGCATTTGGCCTATACGTCACAATGACACTTTCTCTTTTGTTATTTGCAGTTGCATTTATTCTTCTTGCGCTTATTAAGAACCCCTGGTTTGTTATTCTGATTGATAACTTTGAAATTTCTGCCTATGCGTTTTTCTATACAGCTTCTGCGTTTCACTTCTCAAAAGCAGAATCAGAAGCGTTCTCTTCATTCATTCAAGGTTAGTGTAATGTTATTGCTTACCTGCACCATACATAAAAACCACAATATGTCTTATGAACAATTATTGATATAATTTGTTCTGCAATGATTTTCAACAAAGTGTTAGCAATTTTTTACTTTTAAAGACTCTTCTTTTGGTGTTTATATTGCACGTTTATAATATACAAACACTTATGTTTGTAGAAACTTTTCATCGATAAAATTAATGTTGTGGATAACTGGGGTATCCAGTCCGCATTTTTGGTCAAGATATGTAAAAATTCAGCTCATTAACATCATTTACTCCTTTACGAACATTAATTCTTTTTAAGAAAGTAAATACCAAAGTATGGAAAATACACGACAAAACTTGCATTCTGGCTACGTTGCAGTTATGAATTAAAATATAAAATACACCATTTGATAAAGTAACTTCGTAATTGCTTAATTTGAGATCAAAATACGATTAAATTGAAAAAATTTTTGAAAAGCCGTTTTGTTGTTTTGCTTTATAAAATCTTGTATATTTGCTGAAATAAGTATATAAGCCGAGTTACAGCATTTAAAACAATTATTTGCTGTCCGAATTATTTTATGTATTTATCTAAAGACAAAAATAAGCAGCATATTCAATAAAAAATTTATGTGGTTTTGTTCAGTGTTTTGCTCTGGTTTTAATAAATTGAATTAATCGTCATTTAATTATTGTTACCTTCAGGTGTGTTGACTCTTACCATGAATGGCGTGGGAAAAGAAGTTGGCTAGATATTGACAGGATATCTATTTAGAGAGTATGGCATTAAAACAACCTTGTGTGGATACTCAGTAATTTCTTTTGTATGGTTCATATTTCTGGCAGTTTACACTTTCAGCAGTCAAGAGGCTCATAACTACAAGAGAGTAAAACAGAAGCTGAGAGTGATATCGATGAAGAGAAACTCCCATAATAAAACTATTTCAACTTACCATTACTGAAAAGGTTTTGTCAGTAAATAGGTTATTTTGTGATGCAAAACATGTACTACTTATTTACCGCTGTGCCTGGTGGCCTGGTAATGTAATTTTTAATGAAAATTTTATTGCTCGTTTGCTGTAATCAGCAAAGTATCGAATCAATTAAAATGAATGCATGCTTCAATTTTGTAATTAACAGCAGCTGCAATTCGTATTAGATTTTCTAAATATTTCTGCTGGTAATAGCAATTGTCGTTTCCTGAATCTGTTCTTACATTGGACTTCAGCCCAATTTTTCCGATAAACCATTAAAATGAAAAGTATCTGTTTGATAATATCTATGTTATGTGTAAAAGGATTTGCATGCCCTTAATATGTGTTGTTTCATATAATGTGAGTCGTAATGTAATTATTTGTCTGCAATTCCACATGTGCTGGTTTTCAGTACAGACACTGATCTCGTAATACGACTTGATAAAGCAACTCTGTACTCGTTGTAGTTCAACGAAGCAATTATTACCGGTCGAGGTCATCAAAAGACTATTTGAAAAAACAAACAAAAGTGTGAAAAATTTAGCAATGCAGAACTAAATCAATCTTTAAGATTATGCAAAATTCTAAAACAACCTTTGTGATAATTTTAATAACACCAGCCAGCCGGTGTTACCGTTAATGCCTTTAATCAAGTTTATGTATAAACACTTTTAGATAACTTAACTGCTTGCAAACAGTTTACGTTGAAAACATCTTTCTTGAGAGAGTCTAAAAGTGTTAGAAAAATGTACGTAAAGGCACGAGAAATATTGACCTAGCCCAGCAACACAGAATATGCAACTAACTAGAATGGTCATTCCTTGAAGTTTTTGGTCACACCGAAAATTGTCAGATGTAACTGTCGCCATTTTCCTGGATAGTAAAATGAGAGGATTTTACAACAAACAATATGGCGAAAATTGGATTGTCGAGTTTAAAAATGTTTTAATTATGGAGTGTAAGTGGACTATCTTTGCCATTTTATGTGTATATCAAAGAGAAAGTAAAACACGATTACTCTGTCGACTCTTTTGACTTAAAATCTAATTTTACGACACAATTCAACAGCCATTTATTTGGGAGTATATTCGATCGTAGGTTTTAGTTTATCTTTACCAGGATGTCTTAATTAAGCAATCAAAATACGTTATGACTCGTCATATATTTAAAATGAACTATACAAATGATTTTAACAAGCCTTCATTGTTTAGAAGATTAATTTTCGTGATTGAATGCTTTAAATAAAGTAACTCTATGACAATCAAAATAGAAATATACGTTCATGTACAGTTTATAATTTGTCTGATTACTCATAATTACGCTTAGATATGATAGATTTGGGCTAATGGAACAATAAAAACTAGCACTGTTTTCAGAGTTTTATATCTTAGTGCCTACTGTAAAATGGGATACATGATTTTCAGCAATAATGAGAATTTACACCCTGCTTTTAGTTTCTTGTGAGCAAAACATTTGTAACTCTAAATCCTAAGGAAATGCTTTTGTTTAAATACTTACATATGCCCAACAAACTTAGTGAACATATACAAACATGACTAATCAAAAATAGCTATCAAACTAAATTAGGAAGGTTTTCACTCTTGAAATAAATACACTGCATGACTTCTATATGGACTGAACAAAGCAGTAGTTAGAAAGTGTATTTATCCATCA